CCATCATCAGAAGCACAACACCTAAATCATAAATATATTATATAATATTACATCAATAAAAAAATCTTTTCCATAATGGATTTATACTCAATTCTATATCAAAATTTATAATAAGATTTTCATCTTTTCAATATTTTTAAACATTAATGTATATTTATTTGTTCAAAGTTACTACCAACCAAAGGATGTGACCTCTCCAAAACATCACAGGTTACCTCCTATACACATTTCACTGTGATGTCACTGACACGTCAAAAGTGAAGACTCTAAGAAATGTCATAACTACCTCTCATTGTGATGTCACATATTAACTTTTCTATGACTTAATTGAAACTTGTCTTAATTTTATAAAATACTGTTGGTTTCTTTCTAGTTCTCAATAAAAACACACACACACATCATACATCATTGAGTAAATAAATTATATTTCATCTATAACAGTGCATTGAGAAGTAATGAAATACTGAAATATTAATTGTCAGATATTGCATAAAAGCACAGTTTCAACTACAACAGAAGTACAATATGTAAAAATGTATGGCTGAATGATAAAAGTTATGGAAAAACATTAATTTGGAGAAATGGAGTTGTGATATATAGGTGATCTGCTTGATTCTAATGATGCATTTTTGAGTTTACATGAATAAAATTGCCAGTAGATTAGAAAGGGCATAATGTGTAATATTAACTTGAAGAGTCCACTCTGCTAAGTCATGTTGAATACTGATTTCTTTGTTCATCTCTGAATCATCTTCTTCTGTGTTGATTTCATTATCATCTCTACTATCAAGATCTTGCCACTCATCAAATAAATCACTTCTTGGATATGAACTTCTTCCAAAATTGTCATTTTCATGTTCCTCTTCTGAAAAGCTTTTAACAGAACCTGGATTTCTATCATGATCTTTTAAATCCTTCTCAGCATTTTGACTATGCGAGATATTTCCTCCAGTATTCCCATAAGATGTAATGGGTGTATGACCTTCATAGTCATCATTATCATTAGTTTTTAAATGATTAGTGTTTAAAAACTTTTTTTAGCTTTCAGAAACTGGCATGCCATTGAAGTTTTCATTACTGTTTTATAAAGAACTGGAACAGTGCTGAACAGAATTTCCAAGT